TAAAAGTACTGGGGATGCTCATCAGGAATTTTCAAAAAGACCTCTAAAAGATCCCAGAAGTTTTTTGAAAAAAGACTGATTTTTAACCCCKAAGARATTGCAAAATGCAAWTATTGAGAATAAAAAATATTGATGCGCTCTTTCTCTTCTTTTAGAAAATGCAATTACCAGAAACTCCAAATTGGCACCCTGAAAGATTCCTGATCACAAATTTTTTACCCCTAAGAGATCCCACGAGTATCCTCAGTACTTGTACCCCAGAGATGATTCCTTAAATTAGGTTTCAAGAACAGTATTTCTGAAGATATAAAGGCAACTCGCACTCCTCCTCTTGATGAAATTGAAGTATAGCTTAAAACACTCACTCGAAATCGTGTTTTATCAGGTATAAAGATTCGAGCCGAAGGCGTACCTGATAAAACACGATCTCGAGTGTTTTAAACGGCTTCAAAAACTCCAACACTAATTTGAAACTCAAATCCGTTAAAATTCTTGGAGAAATTGCTGTAAAAATAAGTTTTGGGATAAATGGGGCAAACTGTTCATGCGCGAATCACTTTACAAAGCACTCTTATCATCCCACATTGAACACGCATAAAGTAAAATAGAACCGCTTTTGCCTGTTAACAGCAATCGGTTGACATCCAGCATTGGTCAATGATCAGGTTTCAAAGCTGATACCTTTGCTAGGGTCATGGACCTTTATATCTGATTAAGGTCACCCTTATTAGTATTCTTTATATAAAGAATACTAATGAGGAGTGTTTTATCAGATATATAGGTCCATGCATGTGACCAAATAGGCTCATTCTATTGGCCTAATAGCTCATTAATTATGTATGAGTTTTTGAATATCTTTTTGCATATGCACATAAAATTGAGTATTTAATTTGGCAACTGTACCTTTCTTCTGCATCCATCTTCAACAATTTACTGGTAACAAGTAATGGCCTTCTAGATTTGCTCTGTGTTGATGAATATTTGAAAACATTTGATGTTATTTTTACATCAAATGTATCTAAAGTTTTATTACATAACAATTCTAATCAATTCTTCAACAATTTACTGATATAAACGTGTACATATGTCTATCTTTATTCTGTGTGTATATAAAATATTTGAAACATTAAATAATTGTCATTAGTATACATCAATCTCCATATACTTCAAATTATCGAAAATGTT